TAATACGGTCATCTCCGGCATTCGCACGTGGTGGTAGCATACCTGCGATCCGGAGTACGATGGAAGAGGGGAGTATCCCGTGGAAACACTGCCATTGCCAGCCACCATCAGGTGCAACATAATCCGCAACTACGGCCTGGAGATTAATCGGCTGCGCATGAGGAAGAATAAATCGTGCGAGCGGCCCCCGTGAATCCAACCAAGAATCTATCCAGAATCGTATTTTTTCTCCATTCCCCAAAATCCAACGTATACCACTAACAACTCGTGGCCAGATTTTACGAATACCTCGCATTAAGTGCGACGCCTGGCGCCCATTACCCAAATCCATGCTTGTCGCTAATTGTAATCCATACTTAGCCGACATTACACGAACCCATAATGCGTCCGGTTTAGTTAAGAGGCCCCAACCTACCTTCATTAGTAGGGCGTTGTTCATGCATCGGAGGTCTCGGATACCCAGCCTTCCCTCATTTTTCTTCTGGCAAACATCTTTCCAAGCCACTAGATGAATCTTTCTCCTATCAGTAGAGCCGCCCCATACAAAAGCACGACAGTTCTTCTCAAGGGTATCCGTGGTGGTCCGGGGGAGTAAGGTTGTCTGCATCGAGAAGAAAGGTAAGGTGCTCAAGGCCGACTGCGTGAGGGTAACTCTTCCTGCCAATGAAAGTGACTTCATGCGCCACCCAGCAAGCCGAGACTCCGTCTTCTCTAATATGTTGTTATAAGTATCTTTGGTCATTATGGAATGGAGTATTGGGACTCCAAGATATCTCCCCAGGTTATTCGTGAGTTGAAATCCTAGAGCCCTCGACAGCCGTGTTTGTTCATCCATCGGCACATTATGGGAGAAGAAGACCTGAGTTTTTGTCGGGCTTACTCGCAGTCCCGACCGGGAGCAGAAACAATCAAGAACTTGGTGGAGGACTGAAACCTGATCATCCGAAGCCTCCATAAACAGAAGCAAATCGTCGGCAAACATCAAAAAAGGCACGCCCACTGCATGTCGACCCACCGTTATGGGGCGCCAAGAGGAGTCCTCCACCGACCGACCAATACTCTGGGCCAGTCGTTCCATACAAAACACAAAAAGATAGGGCGATATGGGATCACCCTGTCTAACCCCTCGAGTGGGATAGAACTCTTCACCTATCGTGCCATTCCATAATAGGTTCATCGAAGCAGAAGTAAGGCAAGCTACAATCGCTCGAACTAGCTTCTCAGGGTAGCCCGCGAGGCAAAGTGTTTCGGCGATGTAGTCCCACCGTAAAAAGTCATACGCCTTTTCGAGGTCCACTTTGATTACCATGAAACCTTTCGGGCCTCGTTGTCCCCTCATCGAATGAATTAATTATTGAGCGGTATTGATGTTGTCCGTGATGTGGCGTCCCGGGACAAAGCTTGCTTGAGCCGGATGAATCAAGACTGGTAAGGTACTCTTCAACCTGTTGACCAGCACTTTAGTGAACACCTTATAAACCACGTTTAACAAGCTTATCGGTCGGAACTGTCGGATTGTGCTAGGGTTCTCAACTTTAGGGATCAACACCAGAAGAGTTTGATTGATTTGGGGCGGAACTTCCCCACGTTGCCACATTTCGCGAAGGAGTCGGCTCACGGCCGGGCCAACAACGGTCCATTTTTCTGATATAAAAGTGCATGTAATCCGTCTCGTCCCGGGGCTTTGAGGGGCCCCATATTGGCTAAGGCCGAAGTAATCTCGCTTTCTGTTATATCACCCTCTAGATCCCGGGTGTCGCAAGGTGGAAAGAATCCCGTCTGGCTGTCGGGCGGCAATGGGCCCTGGTCAGCCGTGTAAATCCCTCGGAAAAAATTCGCAGCCAACAAGCACAAATCCTGCTGGTCCGTAACACGATTACCCGCATCATCCGTTAGCTCAGTGATACGCCCT